AAGGAGATATTCAATTATATATGCAAAGGATGCACTGAAAATTTTAACTTCTTGATGTAGGACACTTAATGACAAAATTTATGGAGAAGTGGGACAATCACAAGCTAAATACGGATGCATACATACTATTGACTTCCATAAAGAAATGATCATATTTTTTTAACCCGGAAGGTGGATTCTGACATATTATATATATAACTTGCCTATTTCTATGAGATGAAGCCAACTGAAAATATCTAGTTCGAATGTGGGTAAAGATTAAGAAATTATAGAGAGATGGTTTCCTACCTTCTAACTACAAACAAATATATGTGGCTTTGAAAGATTCCTTTACCTTAGCTAAGAATAGAAACCTCAATTCATCTCTAAGAAAGAATCTAGATTTGTGAAGAGCACCAAAAAAGCAACAAAATAGACTTCATTAATTATATCGATTGTAGAACTAGAGGCATCAAAGACAGAGATCGCTAAGGAGAAGTTTTTTATAGAGGCTGACAACGAGACACTCACAACCGAAAAGGAAGATTCCGCCACATCAAGATTCTACCTGAAATGCAAAGTCTCATTTTGCATGAGATTCCTAATGTTGATGGTGATATAAAGATAGATATTATGCATGATATTCTCAAAGACGTCATGAGTGATTGTAAAACCCCAAAAATTTTGAAAATACTATGGTAAATAGTAATAAATGAGTTATATTATGATAAATATTATCTATGAATGAATGAGTATGTTAGTAATTGATTTTAGATTAATTAAGTGTATATATAAGAATGTACAAGTGTTAAACATGCACAAAACAAGTGAAAACATGGACGCAAGCAAAAACCTGTAGGCTGGAAAATACCTCGGGTCGGTCGACTGATGCTTTCCAATCAGTCGACGGATGCTTTCCAATTAGTCGACAGATAGAAGCTTATCAGTAGACAGATAGAAGCTTATCAGTCAACTGATGACAAGCCATCAGTCGACCGACGGGTGTGTAGGCAGATTTCCTAGTTTGGTTTGGATTCATGTCTTTTTGAATTGTTTCGGGTTTACCTCTATATATATACATATATTTCATAAAAATATCTCTTTTACATCATATTACTGAATCCTACCAGCCATCCTCTCCCCTCAGCAAACCCTAGATTTATTTTGATAATTTTTAAGAGCTTTGTGAAGCAAATACCGAGAAGAGGGCGAGATCGTTGGCATTTGGCGAGGAAGAATCTATTTTCTTACATTCTTGGAAATTTTAGCATATTTTGAGATGTGTTTCATCTCCTCCCATCCTATCCCCATTTTTGTTTGGTTTTTATTGAGTTTTATTTGGTTTTATTGGGCCTTAAAACCTAGTTTAAGTATAAAGATTGTTCATTTAGACTATAAGATCCAAAGATTTGATCTTTTTGATTTAAAAAGATATAAAATAGATTTCTAATTACGGATTTAAAGTTTAAACGTGATTTAACATGAGTTTTGATTAAAGTAGGTGCTTTCATGAAAATCTTATACATATGACACTTATGAACATGTTAGGATTTTAGTTTAAATTTTCAAATTTTAAATTATAATTTCATGCAATAGAATTAACCCTAAATATGTTGATTTAAGTTTAACACATGAGTTTTATTGAAAAAGTTTTCATGCAATAGAATTAACCCTAAATATGTTGATTTAAGTTTAACACATGAGTTTTATTGAAAAAGTTTGATTTTTGACGAATTTACACCCTAAATATGTTGATTTAAGTTTAACACATGAGTTTTATTGAAAAAGTTTGATTTTTGACGAATTTACTTGAATATCCAGTTGATTCTAGAAATAAAAACCTGAATTGTGCCGATCGGTCGACCGATCAAAGGTGATCGGTCGACCGCCCGACTGCTGAGAGCTTTCTTGGACTGGTCGACTGAACCAAGAGCATCAGTCAACTAATCCCTGTTTGTTTCTGTGCATGATTTACACAATATGCCGAACGACTAAGAGGGGTGTTTCGGTCGACCGACAAAGGTTATTTTTGCATATGTTGATACTTCATATGCGTTTGATCATGAACACGAACCACGAGTCGCACATTGATATATGTGTGTTGTATACGAGGGTACGCGTATTAGAATTTGAGCATGCACGTGCGTTTGGAGGTACATAATTCTATATTTTGATTTGTCATGTTAGAGAATGACGCATTTTGTATTTCATCATATTGTGGATGCTTGAGTGGGTTAGTTAGTATCCCGTAATAAGACCATAGAAGACTACACTCAGAGTGGGTTAGTTGGTATGCTACAATAGGACCGTGGCAGACTACACTCTATGATGCATCATTCTGGACTGGGCTGATATGTATACATTTTGCAGGACGATTGAGTAAGGTGGTGACATCACAGGATATTATGAGCGCCTTATAAAAGCATCGTTGTTTATAATAGAGTATTACACAGACTGCATTCATGCTCCTATGATATTTACCCCGAGAGTAGGGTATAGGACTGAGGTTCTCATACATGGCATATTCTATGTGAGTTCTCTTTGATCGGGATGTTATTTTTGTGACTGTGCCACTACCCGAGGGTAGAGTGAGGACTTGACATAACTTGTATTGGTTGAGATTTGGATTTGTATTTTCTTTTATTCATTGTTTTATTCATAGGATTTGGAGTTGGTATTTAGTGATTCACAATTTGAGATACTAGGTATATACATGAGGGTTTTCTTGTTTGGATTATTTCGCTCGACGTACCCATTCTCATGTTGTGGATTTCTAAATATCAATTTCTACTTAGTTCAGGATAAGTGGTTTTATATATATATGTACTAACTTATATTTTCTTATATACTCCTTACCCCCTTCCTCTGGGGGCGGTGGAGATGATCTTGTTAGTGCTTTAACGCTCGTTGTTTCTCCTCTTTTCAGGTAGCGAGTCAGGCGCATGAAGAGTCACAAGTTGATGGAGTTTCAGATTAGTTTTTATTATTATTTGTTATTATTAGTTATTTAGTGCTCCACAGTAGTTATGATTTACTTTCAGACATTTAGAGTTGTATTTCATTTTGTAAAGGCTGAGTGCCTTAGTACTACTTCATTTGATTCTAGGTATTGATATACTTCACATTGGTTTTAGTTTGTTAGTTGTATTTTATTTTACTCAGTTGGAACATGATTATATTATTATTGAATTCTCTCATTTCCTTTATCATGTTCATTGCATTACTATCTTATTTTATCTGATTTGTACCTATACTTGTTTATTATTGATTCCACTAGAGTGATATTACTGCGATGGTGAAACGTATTGTTGCATTGTATGTGTGTATGACAGGTTTAACATCCTTGGGTTTACTTTAGACTATAGCCTTGTGTGAAACCAGGGACATCACAGTTGGCATCCTTAGGATCATCTTGTGTCGAGTCGTTGAGCTAGGATAGAGTTTCCTAGGACTTATGTATAGAGTCCGCTAGGAATTCCTAGATTGAGTGAGGACGTTATATGTATACCTCAAAAATTACAAATTTTTTATGAAAACTATCTTACTTAATTGAAAAGTATTTGCGTGAATGATATGTGATACAATTTACCTATTATTACATGTTACGTTATTTTGCTTGAGGTCTCCTTTATTGTATCTTATAAGCTCTTTTCCTAAAATTATAGATGTCAGGACGAGCTGGGCAAGCTGAACCAGAGCCCGAGCCGTAGCATGCTCCACAATATTTGATCAACATCATAGCACCAATTGTAGCTAGACTAGCAGCACTAGAGGAGTAAATGGTAAACCAGATTTTGCCAGCAATACTGTCATCTGAATTTCCACCATCGGTCGCACCAACTGTGCCTATTACAGAAGAATAACCGACGGTTACACCATCGCCACCACTAGTTGTTGGCAGAACCGTAGAGCAAGTTAGAAGCCTTAAAGCATAATAGTTTAGGAATAAGGGTAAGGGCAAAAGGTTGTTTACATGACCTGGAGGACCTCACCAGCAGAGTGAACCTCATCTGAATGATCAACAGCAACAGCAGCAAGGTGCTTGTCCAGAGCGACAACAGGATCAGAAAGTGCCAAAGCGGCATAGGCTTCTAGGAAATTGTTGTCATTGCCACAAGTATGAACATCTAGCCAGGGACTGCTGTAGCGTGCCGGCAAGAGGATTGCAAGACAAGGGTTAGAAATTGCAGCATGACCAGAGAGCGTCGAAACAATGCGGATTTTAGGGTGCTTGTTTTCACTGCCACAAGTTTGGTCATAGAGCCGTAGAGTGTCGTAGTGCACTAGCGGGAAGCCAGCAGGGCAAGGGTCAGGGTAAGCACCATAACCGAAGCCAAGGCTAGCAACAGAGACTAGAAGCACCACCATCAGCTTTGAGAATCGAGAGTCAGGTGCATGCTATTCAAGAAATACCACAGGTTTAGATAGCTCTGGATACTAAAGAGCCTTCAACATAGCAGATCGTAGTTTTTGGTCGAGTTTACGAAGTGTATCGCATGATCATGATGTGAGTAGGGCCGTAGTGGAAGGTACGTTCTTTGTGAACTCCTTCCCAACTCGTATCTCTTTGATTCAAGAGTTTCACATTCTTTTTTATTTATTTATGTTCTCATGGATAGACTTCAATTAGTTACACATCCCCTAGACATTATTTTGTCAGCTTCTATTCCTTTAGGAGATGCATCCCTATTAGAGAGTATTTGTAGGAGATATATTATCAGCTTAGATGAGTCTAAGTTCATAGTCGATTTGATCATCTTGTGCATGTCCGAATTCGATGTGATTCTTGGTATGAATCGACTATCTTCCTACTATATCAGTATTGACTATTTTGCGAAAACGGTCAGCTTGCAAGCATCCGATAGGACTAAGTTAGTTATAGCAACCTCACAAGGAAACCAGTTTGCGGAGTTATTTCTAGCATACGTCGAGGAGGTGACATTGCGAGATCAAGGTGCTGATTTGAACGAGACCAGAGTTGTCTCAGAGTATCGGAATGTTATTCAGGACATACACGAATTATCTCCAGTGAGAGAGGTTGAGTTATGCATCGAGTTGCAGCCGGGTGCAACACTGATCTCTCGTCTACCTTATTATATGGCACCTGCTGAGATGAGGGAGCTACAAACTCAGTTAGAGGAGCTATTTGCTCAGGGATTTATTCATCGGAGTCATTCTCTATAGGGAGCATTAGTCCTTTTCGTGAAGAAGATGGACGACAGCCTTTGATTATGTATCGATTACCTCGAGTTGAATAAGGTCACCATCTAGAACAAGTATCCACTACCGAGGATTGATAATTTATTCGACCAATTACAGGGAGCGTAGTGTTTCTCAAAGATTGATCTTCATTCTGGCTATCATTAGTTGCGGGTTCGGGAGATGGATATTCCTAAGACCGCCTTTCTGACTCGATATAGGTCTTTCAAGTTCCTTGTCATGCCATTTGGGCTGACCAATGCACCCTTAGTATTCATGGATTTGATGAATCGGGTTTTTCATCCACACTTGGACCAATTCATGATTGTTTTCATCGACAATATCCTTATCTATTCGAGATCAGAGGCCGAGCATGAGCAGCACCTTCGTCTGGCGTTGTAGACTTTGCGAGAGCACCAATTATATGCTAAGTTCGGCAAGTGTGAATTTTGGCTTTTAGAGGTTAGATTTTTGGGCCATGTCATCAGACAGAAGGGCATTGTAGTTGATACAGACAAAGTGGAAGCAGTTCTTGATTGAAGCCGCTAAAAACTATGACAGAGATTCATAGCTTCTTGGATCTTACCAGCTATTATAGGAAGTTCATCCAGGACTTTTCTAAGATTGCTACCTCGTTGATACACCTTACGAAGAAGAGTGTACAGTTTGTTTGGGGACAGAAGTGCCGGAAAACCTTTGAGACTTTGAAGACTAAGTTGACTACAACACCGCATTTGATTATCCTGATAAGTAATAAGACTTTTATTGTCTACACGGATGCATCTTTGTTGGGATTAGGAGGCATTTTGATGCAAATTCAAAGAGTAGTAGCTTACATTTCACAACAGTTGAGGACTCATGAGCCAAATTATCCCACCCATGACTTAGAGTTGGCAGCAGTAGTCTTCGCACTGAAGACGTGGAGACATTATCTTTATGGAGTTTAGTCTAAACTATTTACAAACCATCAGAGTCTGAAGTATATCTTTTCTAAGAAGGAGCTTAACCAGAGACAGCGGTGATGGGTCGAGTTTATCAAGGATTACGAGTTCACATTGCAGTATCATCCGGGTAAGGTGAACTTTGTAGTAGACTCATTGAGTAGGAAGCATCATCACAAGTTTACAGCTTTGAGGTACTCATTATATCAAGATCTTCGTACACTCAGCTAGTTTAACTTTAAGCCAGAGATTGGTGGGAGCAGCGTATTTTTAGGAGCGTTAATCGTATAGCCGTCGTAGACTAATAAAGTGATCAGTGCTTAGTCGGAGGACTCTCGGATTCAAACCCGAAAGGGGGAGATTTTCAAAGAGCCCAAGGCTAATTGGACCATTGGATCAGATGGGGACCTTCGAATAAAAGGCTGACTAGTGGTGCCAGATGTTCCATAGTTGAAGAAGGAATTATTTGATGAAGCACATCATACCAGGTACACAGTGCATCCAAGCACAACCAAAATGTACAAGGACCTGAAGAGACATTTTTGGTGGAGCGGCATGCGTAGGGATATTGTGGAGTATGTAGCAAAATGATTTACTTGTCAGTAAGTAAATGTAGAATATCAGAGACCCACGAGAACCCTACAACCTTTTACCCATTACTGAGTGGAAGTGGGCAGATATTTCTATGGATTTTATTATGGGCTTGCCGAGGTCTAGCAAAGGGAACGATTCGATTTGGGTGATTGTTGATCGATTGATGAAGTTGGCGCACTTCCTACCCATCAAGACTACTCATGCGATGGAGACTTATGCGAGGATTTTCATCCGGGAGATTGTACGATTACATGGAGTTCAAGAAACGATTGTTTCGGATCGAGGCTTAGTTTTTACTTCATATTTCTGGAAGAGCTTCCAGAATTCTTTCGAAAGCCAGCTATCATATAGTAGTGTTTTTTACCTGCAAATAGATGGCCAAATAGAGAGGGTCAACCAAGTTTTGGTGGACATGTTGTGGGCATGTGTTATCGATTTTAGGGTAGCTAGGAGGATCCTATTCCATAAATTGAATTTGCCTACAATAATAGTTACCAATCTATTATAGGCATGGCTCCTTTAAAGCATTGTATGGGAGGCCTTGTAGATCCCCAATTTGTTGGGTGGAGCCAGAGGACAGATTGCTACTTGGGCCAGAGCTCGTGAGGTAGACTACGGAGGAGGTAGCACTGATTCGAGAGCGTATTCTCACAGCCAGAGTCGACAGAAGAGCTACGTAGATCAGAGATGATGACCTTTGGAATTCCAGGTTGGCGATTTTATTTTGTTAAAGATGTCACATATGAAGGGTGTCTAGCGATTTAGCAAACGGGGAAACTTGCCCCGAGATACATTAGACCATTTAGGATTATTGATCGTGTTAGAGCCATTTCATACCGGCTAGATCTTCCAGCATCGATGTCGGGTGTGCACGATATTTTTTATGTTTCGATGCTCAAGAAGCATTTACGTGACGAGGAGCAGCAGAGAGTGCTAGATGCGCCAACGATTGAGCTTCATGCAGATTTGACCACTATTAAGATCCCAGTTCATATTCTTGCTAAGGAGGACAAGAAGCTTAGAAATAAGGTGATTCCATTAGTCAAAGTTCAGTGGAACCGAAAAGGAGCTGAGGAGGTTTCTTGGGAGCATGAGGAGGATATGCATTGCGACTATCCCGCACCTGTTTGAGCAGATATAATGTCAACTATGATTTGTTTGTGTTTATGTTGTCTTTATGGCTACATTTGCATTTAACGCTAGAATGTGGATATTAACACTTAGCTCCTAATCATTCTGAATA